TAGAGAGATGTGTTCTTTAACCACTTTACCTCTAGAGGATTTACCCCCTTCCTGACCAGGCCATTTTTTTGTGATATGGTGCTGCGTTACTTTAACTGACAATTGCGCAGTCATGCAACGCTGTACATAAATGAAATTTATGTCAAACTTTCCCACAAATAGAGATTTCTTTCAGTGGTATTTGATCACCTGCGCATTTTTAATTTTTTGCGCTATAAAAAAAAAATACAATTTAAAAAAAACATATTTTTGACTTTTTACTATAAAACATATCCAGTAAAAAAATTAAAAAAAAATCAAATTTCTTCATAAATTTAGGTCAAAATGTATTCTGCTACATTTCTTTGCTAAAACAAAATCCCAGTACATGTAAATTCATTGGTTTACGTGAAAGTTATAGCATCTACAAATGGCGGTATGTATACTGGAATTTTTTTTTATACTAGTAATGGCATCAATCAGTGACTTATAGCGGGACTGCGGGACTGCAGCAGGCATTCTGACACTGGGGGGGGGGGGGCATACTAACTGCTACTGATATCACCAATGACACTAATACAGTGATCATGCTAATAAAAAGCACTGACACTGTACTAATGGCACTGGGCAGGAAGGGGTTAACATCTGGGGCACTCAAAGCGTTAACTGTGTGCTGTTTTACTATGTGTGCTGTGTGTGTTTTACTTGGAAAACATACTGCTTTGCATTTCTATGCTGTGCAGAGAAATACACAGCAGCATGTTACTGCTGGCAGGAGAGAGACCTGTGTTGTTTACACACAGGTCTCTCCCCTGTCAGTGATACTCGGTGATCACTGGGTCTCCGGCCGGGACCCGGTGATCCACATCTGTACGCACCAATGGTGGTGCAGGTAGGATGGCTAATGCGCACCCCCTACCCAGAAATCCAAAATCACGTATATATACATGATTTTGTGCAGCCCTGCCACCCTGTAGCAGTAGTTCTGCTACAGGGCAGTAGGGAAGCTGTTAATCCTCAAATACCTTCCGCTCACTTTATCTCTAAAATATAGAGGGAGGGTGTTTTTTAGTCCTAAAATATATTTCCCTTTCTTCTTTTCTAAAACATAGAGGGAGGGTATTCTTTAGTCTTCACAAACCTCCCGCTCTCTTCTTCTCTAAAACATAGAGGATGGGAGTTTTTTAGTCCTCACATACCTCCCACTCTCTTCTTCTCTAAAACATAGAGGAAAGGAGTTCTTTAGTCCTCACATACCTCCCGCTCTCTTCTTCTCTAAAACATAGAGTGCGGGAGTTCTTTAGTCCTCACTTATCTCCCACTCTCTTCTTCTCTAAAACATAGATTGTGGGCGTTCTTTAGTCCTCACTTATCTCCCACTCTCTTCTTCTCTAAAATATAGAGGGCGGGAGTTCTTTAGTCCTCACATACCTCCCACTCTCTTCTCTAAAACATAGAGGGCGGGAGTTCTTTAGTCCTCACATACCTCCCGCTCTCTTCTCTAAAACATAGAGGGCGGGAGTTCTTTAGTCCTCACATTCCTCCCGCTGTCTTCTCTAAAACATAGAGGGTGGGAGTTCTTTAGTCCTCACATACCTCCCGCTGTCTTCTCTAAAACATAGAGGGCAGGAGTTATTTAGTCCTCACATATCTCCCTCTCTCTTCTTCTCTAAAACATAGAGGGCAGGAGTTCTTTAGTCCTCACATATCTCCCGCTCTCTCTTCTTCTCTAAAACATATAGGGCGGGAGTTCTTTAGTCCTCACTTATCTCCCACTCTCTTCTTCTCTGAAACATAGAGGGCGGGAGTTCTTTAGTCCTCACATATCTCCCGCTCTCTTCTCTTCTCTCAAACATAGAGGGTGGGAGTTCTTTAATCCTCACATATCTCCCACTCTCTTCTTCTCTGAAACATAGAGGGTGGATATTCTTTAGTTCTCACAAACCTCCAGCTCTCTTCTTCTCTAAAACATAGAGTGTGGGTATTCTTTAGTCCTCACATATCTCCCGCTCTCTTCTTCTCTAAAACATATAGGGTGGAAGTTCTTTAGTCCTCACTTATCTCCCGCTCTCTTCTTCTCTGAAACATAGAGGGCGGGAGTTCTTTAGTCCTCACATATCTCCCGCTCTCTTCTTTTCTCAAACATAGAGGGCGGGAGTTCTTTAATCCTCACATATCTCCCACTCTCTTCTCTGAAACATAGAGGGTGGGTATTCTTTAGTTCTCACAAACCTCCCGCTCTCTTCTTCTCTAAAACATATAGGGCGGGAGTTCTTTAGTCCTCACAAACCTCCCGCTCTCTTCTTCTCTGAAACATAGAGGTGGGAGTTCTTTAGTCCTCACATACCTCCCGCTCTCTTCTTAAAAAAACATAGAGTGTGGGAGTTCTTAATGGTATATTTAACATACCAAAGATGAAGAAATAAGAGAAGTAGGGTTTTCATATACTTTCATACCCTGTATACACAAAAGAAGAAGTGAGTAACAAATACATGGATTTCATGGTACAGGAACATTATTGTTTATAGAAAAAAATACACATTCTATTATCCACCTGCCCTTTTTCCACATACTTTAAAATATTTTACAGTTGTGCTTTGATGTTAGTATATAATACAGGTATGTACTGTATCTTTGAAATACATAATGATTTTTACTACAAAAGGCACAACTATGTTAAAAAAGGAGGCAGTTGTTATTTTTTTTCTGTCTTAGACTAAAACGTTAGAGGCAACATGCGATTCATTGTTGTGTACACAACTATCACACTCTGCGTAGGAGATTTACTAAAACTGCATGGTGCAAAATCCAGTTCACCCTACACAGAAACCAATCAGCTTCCAGGTTTTATCGTCAAAGCTTAATTGAATAAACTGAAGTTAGAAGCGAATTGGTTACCATGCACAGCTGCACCAGATTCTGAGTACTCCAGTTTAAGGAAATCCCTCCCCCCAGTGTCTCTAATGCCCCGTACACACTATAAGAAAATTGGATGAACGTATTTGTCCGACGAGCAATCGTGCAATTTTCTGATGGTGTGTACATCATTTTCGACAGCCGATTCCGATCTTACCAATGAAAATTAACGATGGTGCAAACATCAAAATTTTTGTCGTTCGGGAACAGAACAAACAATTTTTGTTTAATGTGTACTGTTTTCGTACAAGAAAAATTGGATACGAAAGACCGTGAATAATCAGAAGCTGCTTATGACCTGGAAGAACCTGAAGAAAATAAACACCAAAGAATATTTGTAAGCATTACAGCCGTTACTGTCACTAAACAGTTGTCTTCAACCCACCCCCAAAAAACAAACATTACATATGCCACTGCATCACAACGAATGTGTGTTTGCATGTTGTAAAAATAAAACCAGAATTCCAAAACCCATAATGGCAATTGCAGTATTATCAGAACATTTGGATACAGTATCCATGACTATTTAAAAAATTTGTCACGAAAGATCCGTTGATGGGGGATAACAAATATGGCACTGAAAGGTGCGGCTACAGGTCACACATACATTACATCACTTCCACAGCTACGCTACGACGTTCGTAAGCAATGCCTTTATCGTACAATATTTTTCTCATGCATAAAAGCACATCGCTTTCGACCAGCTGTATACAATCGATGATAATCGGACGAACGTTCGTCCAATTTTCTTATAGTGTGTACGGGGCATTAGTTTTGTATTGTGTGAGTGAGCCTCATAGAAAATAGAAATGTTGGCACAGTGAAAAAAAAAGTGTTTTTTTAAAACCATATATATGAAAGTATATTTGAATTGAGGAAAATAAATAAATAAATACACAAATACATTTTTCAGTGATGTCAATCAAAATAAAGTTGAAAAACAGTAATAATAATAATAATATTAATAATAAAATATTTGATAAACTTATATCAGCACTGGGCCTGGGTGAATGAAGTACACATGCACCTTATAGTATGTTTTTATCTATCAATTTATCTAACAAAGGAGCAGTGAGCGCTCAAGACTCTAATGAGATCAGCAGCGAATGCACTAAAAAGGAACCCTAGACCTTATATAAACACAAAAACAAAAATTGGTGCAGCGCTGAAAAAATTAATTAATACTATATTAAAATGCAATACTCAACATATTATTAATATAGAGATATTAAATACACGTGATAACACAGAAGTGAATGAAGCACTGCAATGACTTATCTATCTATCTATCTATCTATCTATCTATCTATCTATCTATCTATCTATCTTTCTACTTGTATATTTCTGCATATTTTACCACTTAAAAACACTATAAGTACAAAAAATGGATTGTTCTAGAAATCCAGTGTGCTACTAGTTTCATGTTTGGGCTGACAACACAGTACCTTTGCTGTATTGAAATCCCAACCAGTGTTGGCAGCCCTGCCTTCTGGACCTCAAACCTATTCTATGCTTTAACCCTCCCTGTTTTAATTTAAATGTATTTTTTCCCACTTTTGACTCTTAAAAGCGTACCTGCAAGTTGTTTGCCGGGAATGGGCTCCTGGGACATGTAGTTCTGGAGGTGTGCCTATGTTAATAGGAACTGACCTCACAGCAGGTGACGCTACAATTTTATATTCCTGGATATCATGTCACAGTTAATTTTAACTGCTGTTTACGATATAAGAAAAACATAAAAGGTAACATGGAAGAAAAAAAACTTTGGTGACAAAGTTTTCAAAGTGATATATACCCAATGGGTTGTATTAAAGTCCATATAAAAACTACAATTTTTTTCTTCTCAGAGTTTTAAACAGGCATTTTTAAGGCAAGTGGACATATTAAATGCTTTACAGGAAATGTTATTCACCTCATTTTTAATAGTACAAGTAACTGGGAAGCTGGAAGTCTCTTACACACACTGCTAGACATTGCTGGAAGGCATGGGAGGGACTGGACAGGGATTATTCTGCAGCTACACTATGTGCTGTCAATTGGAAAGGCTGTGAGTTGAGTTGGGTAAGGCTATGCAATGGAAGGGCAATCCAGGGGCGGACTGACCATTGGGGAACTCGGGCAATACACGAGGGCCCGGGGTCAGTAGGGGGCCCCATGAAATGTCCCTGGTACCTTTCATAGGCTTTTTTTGGGTGTGGTTTGAGTGTGGGCCAGGACACAGGGGCCCCATAATCCCCTATTGCCCGGGGGCCCATGAGTTGTCAGTCCGCCCCTGGGGCAATCAATGTGTTATCATCTAATATGGTACAGCAGCAGCTCCCTATCAAAGAAAGTACTTATCAATGATTCTACTGGCTGGACCATCAGACATTTACAAAGGGGAAGATTTACTAAGACCAGAGAGTGCAAAATAGGGTACATCTCTGCATAGAAACCAATCAACTTCCAGGTTTTAGTATCAAACCTTAATTGAACAAACTGAACTTTGAAGCTGACTGGCTACCATGCACAGCTGCATCAGATTCTGAATGCCCCATTTTTAGTAAATCTCCCCCAAAATGTTTGGGGGGTACTTAGAAAAACAGAGAGCCCGGTCTTACTGGTATGGGCAGCCTATATCACATATGTGATTTTTGACCATGATTCTACTTTAATGCAGCAATTATTTTAAGGTTGAACCTGAAATATTTGTTGGTATAGATAGATACACTCACCGGCCATTTTATTAGTTACACCTTGCTAGTAGTGGGTTGGGCCCCCTTTTGGCTTCAGAACCGCCTTAATTCTTCATGGCATAGATTCAACAAGGTGTTGGAAACATTCCTCAGAGACATTGGTCCGTATTGATATGAGTTACTGTTGCCTTTCTATCATCTCAAACCAGTCTGCCCATTCTCCTCTGACCTTTGACATCATCAAGGCATTTTCGTCCACACAACTGCCGCTCGCTCTATATTTTCTCTTTTTTGGACCATTATTTGAAAACCCTAGAGATGGTTGTATGTGAAAATCCCAGTAGGTCAGCAGTTTTTGGAATACTCAGACCAGCCCGTCTGGCACTAACAACCATGCCATGTTCAAAGTCACTTAAATCCCCTTTCTTCCTCAATTCTGATGATCGGTTTGAACTTCAGCAAGTTGACTTCACCACATGTAGATGCCTAAATGCACTGAGTTGCTGCCATGTGATTGGCTGATTAACAATTTGTGTCACCAAGCAATTGAACAAGTGTACCTAATAAAGTGGCTGATGAGTGTACATTGATAGATAGATAGATAGATAGATAGATAGATAGATAGATAGATAGATAGACAGATAGATAGATAGGTAGACTGGACTTCTTTGAAATCATTTTTTGCTTGAAGAGCTTGCAGTTCATCTTACTTCTTTCATAGCATCATCAAAAACCTAAAGTAGCCTTCTAATAAAAACCCTTATATTTTTTTTACCTACTACCCTTGTACTTCCTAGTGACATAGTCAATAGCAGAAAAAGTCAAATGTAGTGCAGATGGTAGTACTCATGGTCTGTGATAATGCAATCCTCTTCTCAAGGATCAAGGTATTAAGGTTTAGGTTATTTGTATTGATTTTTTGTGCTGCCATGCTGTGTCAGTCATGCTCATATTTGTGGTTCACAAATTCCTCTTTAAAATGTCACAGCCATTTCATCTCCCGTGGCTGTCAATACGGCGTAACCTGAAACACCTGCATTTTGATTCTCAGAGCTGTTCGCACAAAGGCATTCTAAATACACATAAAAACACATCTCTATCTGTGTGTGTGTGTGTATATATATATATATATATATATATATATATATATATATATACACTCTTTTAATGCCTGTTGCAGAAAACCAAACTAGTATATATTTACAAATTTTTATATTTTTTTGGTATTAAAGAAAGTGTAATATAATCTGACAAAACAATAATAGTTCAAATGAATACAGATAACATACTGAGAATATCTATAAATGTTAATGTAATACTACAAAGAATATGAAAAATCTAAAATAAATCTAAATAAAAAAAATAATATCCACTGTACTAAAAAGCAACAAAGAAATACAGATATGCATGTCAGCAAAGAAAATACTCCCTGTTCCTTTAGCCTTTGAATTTTCTTTCTCTCTTGGCTGCTGTCCTGAAGCCCCCTAGTGGCCATTTAGATTTGGTCATGTAGCATAGGAACTATTCAAATTTAGATTGGTATTAGCTCTGGTGTAAGCAAAGTCTATTCAATGGTTACTAGTTGTTTTTACTTTCTGGTTAGATGTCTAAAAACAAGCCATTACAAATATTCCTTAATTTCTGAAGCTGGGAGGGCTGATTAACTCTCTAGACAACCACTTGAAAAATCTATATATGTTGTACATATTTTATCTTTCCTCGTCATTATTATCTTAGGGCATCATTCAACCTAAAAGATGTCCAGGTGGTGGATGGCAGAGTGGGTGACTAGTGTGCCAAGAGCTGCTTTTGTTGTTTTTAAATCCTCATGGTGATAATTTGTTAAAAACGTTTTTTTTTCCAGGAGTTGCACTTTAACTCCTGAACTCTGGGGAAGGGGGCCAGAGTCCCCCAAAATGCATCAGCTGGCTGTGTAATCCATCTGGCAGTTGGATTGGACAGGAGTCGAATGCACTTGGTGCCCGTGTAATTTAATACTTTTAGCCTACTGAGCTTGTGAATATGTTTTTTTATATATTGTACCAATAAAGTACCCATAGATAATGCACTAGGCATTTGCACCCTTTCTGTTCTTGTTGTTGTTCTAGATAACACTTACCTGGGGAAGAGATGGCACCAGGACGTAGTATGGGAAGAAGGCAAGTAAGCGAAGGGATTGTGATGTTTTGGAAATGTTCGGCTGGGAAACCTTGGGTCCAGCCATACATGTGGATGCAACTTTGACATGTATCACCTACCTAAACATTGTTGCTAACAGTATTCCCTGATAGCAGTGGACTTTTTCCACAGGATAATGCACCCTGCCACACTGAAAGATTGGTCCAAGAATGGTTTGAGGAAGAACACAATGAGTTCAGGGCTCAATGGCCTTCAAATTCTCCAGATCGCACTCAATCTGTTTATTGTAGTACTGAAATTCTCCGAATCAAGGAGGGCTGTACTACCTACATGTCAAGTTTGGGTTGCTTATCCTTGGCTCATCTCCACATTTAAGATGGGAGCCCCTACCATCTGAGCACCAAATTGTTAAGTTTGCACTTTATCGTAAGTGTTATCTACAAGGCTGGGCTGTCAATTTGAAACACTTGAATGAAAGAGAGCAGGAGGCAAATAACTGGAACAGATGCAGGAGAGGCTCCCACTGCAGCTGTTTCTCACCTCACCACCAAACCCTTGGCAGGTGCCTTTACTATCCCAGCCCAGCCCTGGATGGTGCGCCACATAAATACATCTGGAATATGAGGCTGCCACATATCCTTGACTCTCCTTAGGCTCTGTTTGGCCATTGGGAGCAAAGATAATAACCCCTGTGTAAGACTCTCTCTCTGCCCCCATGCGACAGTCCCCTGAGGTGATGAGGGGTGAATTACAAACTTCTTGACACTCAGAAGTACCAGATATTTCTCTTTGCTCCAGAGGGCCAAATACATTGATGGGAACAGCAGAGAAGGCAGATGTGATGTTGGTGGGGCTGTGGTTAAAGTGCTTGTAAACTTCAAACATGAAAATGAATAAAGCATATCCTTCTAGTGTGTACTTGTCTTAATTAAGAGCACTAAGTGTAATTTCTGTCTGCTGCTTCATTCCTCTGCCACCAGCATTAATTACTTCTGACAAGCTTTCCTGACACCAAGAAAAATGGTGACAGGAGAGAGACCCTGAGCATATTGACTGCCTCAGCTCTTTTCCTGTAAGCTGTGTGGTGTGGGGGAGGGTGTCTCTTCCTCCAATCAGCTCTCAGAGCACTCCTCTCACTGAGCTCTGCAGTGTGTAAATTCAGCTCTCCGCCCCTTTTTTCCTGACAGCTCAGTCAAGCTTTATATATTTTAGACTTTGAACTTTGAGATAGGCACAACTTATGTAGCAGGATTTGTTTTATCTCTGTGTATCACCTGAGACCAGTCACTTCACTGGTTATATGTAAAGGTTTACAACTACTTCAAAGTCAACCTGTTGCTTTTATTTGCATGAACGATGCAGACGTTCACTTTAAGACCTGTTTTAGAGTCCTCTTTAAGCTGTGCACCAATCATCCTGCTAAATGTTACCTGCAGGGCCTGATTTACTAATAGGCATATAGACATGTACATATAGGAGACAAAGGCAAAGGTGTGGCTTTTCCCTGGATGCAAATATTTTACTATCATCAGTAGAAATAAGGTCGATCTCATACAAGCCTACAGTATCTATGCATTATCATGATATTTTAAGATTACATAGGACCAGTAAATCAAGAAAATGTTCTTGCAAAAGGGTGATCCAAAGATCATGTGTCTACAGGCTCCTGTGATGGCCCCAGTTACCTGCAAGTGTGCAATTACCTGAATGTTTGTGATGAAAAAATTTAATACATGGGATTAGAAAAGTATGATAAATTGGGACGTTTTGGCTATTGGCATAACAGAATTCAAAAGAAACTGTTTACAATGATTATTTTACTTGCATTTATAAATCTATGGCATTTAATGTTCACTAGTGCGTTGTAAACTTGTTTCAAAAAGTAAAAGTTACAACACAGACACCTTCAAACTCTCAAGTATTTACACTGCTTTAGTTGATCACTTGCACTGTGAGATTAACAAACATCGCTGAAAAGACTGTGGCCAAATCCACCCTTGTTGTTTATAAAACCTTTACAAGTCATCAGCTTCCACTAACATACTGGCACTGTTCAATTACCATCACTTTTAGAGAGCCTTAGCAAAACATCCAGTGCCCATGTAAATAGACAAATCTGAAAACTAGCTGGTATGTTGGCTTACATACTGTAGGTAATGTTTTCTTTTGCTCAAATTTGTTCTGGAAACTAATCACGCCCAGATAAAGCCATCCGCAAATATGAGAGATCGACATCCACATGTCAAAGTTTTTACACAGCCTGACCAAGTGTACATATAGTACAGATGATTTTAAGGCCCTGATGTTTTGATCCTCTTATATGAGGAGGAAACTACCGTGCAGCAATTCCAGACCACAGCCGTGAGCAAAATAATAAACAATTGTGTCAATAATATTGCTGTGGACAAATAGGAATTTCTCAAGAAAATGATGTTATGTCTGTAGTTAATTTTTTAATACATTTTGTGAGTCTTTAATTAAA